ACACACACACACACACACACACACACACACACACACAGCCCAGGACTGTGCCACTCCAGAAGTGACATTCCACACCCGGAGGCCATCCCCCCCCACCCTGCCCTTACCTCCAGAGCAAACTTTTTCTTGGCTAGAGGTCCACTGTGCATGCTGGAGTTGAACCCCCGTGAGAGTTGCTTTAAAATGCCCACCTTGCAGAGCTTTTATGAGAGTCGTTGAGCCCACATGAAAAGTTTTGTTAATGATGAAACATTCCACACGTTAGGCTTTTCGTCTTGAACGATAACATAGGGGGAGTGGCGGGGCTAATGAGGCAACTTCTTTTGGGTGTGATGAAAATGTTCTCAAGTTGGTTGTGCAGTGGTTGCATAGCTCTGTGGATATACTAAACTCGAGGAATTTATACTTTTAATAGGAAAATTAGATGGTGTGTGATTTTTATCTCAATAAAGCTAATATTAAAATACATAAAATATTGAGGAATTTGATACTTTGGCCCCTATTTTGTCCCTCCAAATGGCTCTGCATCCATTCTTTTTTTTTTTTCTTTTCTTTTCTTGGTACGGGGGATCAAACTCGGGACCTTGAGCTTTCGAGGCAGGCGGTGGGACCACTGAGCTAAACCCCAGCCCACTGCACCCATTCTTCCTGCAGGTGTCTCTTGATGGTCTACTGTGCACCTGGCTTGATGTCCAACAGCTGGGACAAAGAGTTGAAGATGGAGACACGGACCCCTCCTCACGCAATTGGGAACGTGGGCTTCAGGAGAACAACTCCACTGAGAGCGATACGTTACAAAAATTACAGGGAGGCCTGGACCCAGCAGCAGACGGGCCCATCTCCAGCTGGTCGGAGGGATTCGCGCTCTGATGGAAGGACAGGGAAAGGGTCCCACGCAGAGGGAAGAGCTTGGGTAAAGACCCAGTCGGGAGGGAGAGCAAGATGAAGGGAAGAGAGCAAGAGGATCTGATTTTTTTTTAAAAGAACACCATACCAACTGCCCTGTGGAGAATAGCTTGGAAAAGATAGAGGCAATCGACCAGGTTTTTTACATAGGTAGAAATGATAGGATTTGATGAGGGAGCTGCTTGGAATGGAGTCAGGAGACAAGGATTCCAAGATGGCGCATGGAAGCCGGCGTAGGCGAGAGAGCAGATGGGGCTGAGGAAGGGGTCACGTGGGGAGCAGGCGCTTTCTGCTTCCCGTGTGTTCAGTGTGAGCACTCATTGTGGTAAGGACCCAGGCTCTGAAGCTCAGCTAGCTTAGCGGTCTTACTGCATCTTGGAAAAGCTGCCTTGCCTCTCTGTTAGTCTGTTTCTGAAGACCATAGTAGTGTCTCCCTCGGGTGCAGGCACCAGGATCACAAGGGTCACTGTCTAGGACACACGTGCAATGCACCTGTGCTCCTGCTGCTCATGAGGGGTGCTGTGACCACCGTGTGCCCAAGAGGCGAAGTCCAGGAGGCAGTCGGAGCTGCAGTAGGAGAGGTGGATTTCAGAGGCATCAGCAAGCCTTGGGAACAGAGTGGGAGGGCAGACAGAGCGGCGTGCGCTCCAGCATGGAGGACACAGGGCCCTGCCAGGGAGACTCTAAGGGCTTGGCAGAGGCCGGAAGGAGGAGGCGGGAGTGTCGGGCGTGTGCTGACGCTGAGCCCTACGGAGCATCCACCTGACACTCGAGGGCTTCGGTGTCCCCCCTTTCCTCGGGCAGAAAGATCGCCCCCGGCTGGATGTTTCCGGGGGACACTGGTGATCCGATAAGTTCCGTTTTTAACATGTATGTGTAGAAATGTATATTTGGATACATTCGAGGAGCTTCCTATTTTTCACAAAGTCTGAAATACATCCTTTCATAAAAATAAGAATTGTCTTGGGGTGAAGTCATTCCTCTTGTTGAATGCTCAGATCTCCATCCAGTGTCCTGTCTGCCTTGGGCACCAGCCTACTTTGCACACAAAGTTCCCTCTACTGTTTTTCGTCAGTGGTGGCTGCACAGCTAGGCCACTAGCTCCTCGATGAAGTAAAAAGTCAGGGCCCAGTTTCCGGGTAGGAGGAGCTGTGTCTGAATGGAACTTGAGCAGGATCTCAAATAAGCAAACTACAAAGTGTGTCCTGGCTGACCTTGACCTTTTCCTGCTCTTGATGGCAACATAGCCCTGCTTGAACAGGTCAGTGGGGAAGACCTGCTTATAACATATGCAATTATAATCGGTTGTTAATAATTCTTCACATTTTCCACCATAGCATAGAGTTTACACAATATTTTCGTATGATAGCATCCGACGATGCCCGTCACACAGCCATCGTTATTTCTATTTGACGGGTGAGAAGCCCAGTCCTCACAGAGGTTAACATGGCCAGGGCTGAGCCAGCAGGAGAGGCTGAGACCGCTGCCTGGGGGGAGAAAGGGGGACACGGAGCGGGGAGGAGTGTCGGTCCTGGTGTTCAAGGGTTGTGCTGTCTACGGAGGGTTTACAAACAGGAAAACAAAATAAAGGCAGTCTGCTTTTTATGATCATGCACCAGCAAATCTAAAAGATGTTAGTGATAAAATATTCCTTCCCACTGCACATGAAAAGTTGCCTTATTCATATAT